ACACACACACACACGTGACACACACACACGTGACACACACACACACACACACACACACACACAAACTCACCTTTCCCTTATCAAAACAGTCGACAATCTTGGTCAACAGCTCTTCCTTCCTCTCCGCCTCTGTCTGCTCACTGTAGCTCATCTCAGCCGGCAGATTCCCGGAGCCCCAGGACAGAAGCTGGGCGTAGAGTCTCAGGGTGAGGCCCGCCTCCACAAAGTTGCTGGCGTGGTAGTGGAGCTCGTACAGGCGCGAGATGTAGCGGATGTACATGTCTTTGCGGCTGTCTTTGTAGAAGTCCTGGGAACGGTCACGTACAAAAACAACATTTTTTAAAAAGAAAACCAGAAAAATTCGGTCCTATTGTGTTCTTAATAATTAACCCGTTTTGTTTGAGTCAAGTTGCACTTTCTTGCGTGATAGTGGGGCTCGTACAGGCACGAGATATAGCGGATATACATTGACATGTCTTTGCGGCTGTCTTTGTAGAAGTCCTGGGAACGGTCACGTACAACAACAAAAAATTATATTTTAAAGAAAAAAAAAAAAAGAAGTTTAAAGTAAGTTTTAGTAAGGTTTTATGGCGTTCGAAACTGCATAAGGTCACATGAGCGCCAGAAGAAAGAAATAGATCCTATTGTATTCTTTAATTAATTAACTGGTTTTGTTCGAGTCAAGTTACAATTTTTACCGTAGTGGACCTCACACAGGCGCGAGGTATAGCGAATGTACATGTCTTTGCGACTGTCTTTGTAAAAGTCCAGGGGGTAAAAAAAAAAAAAAATTTTCAAAGAAAAAACGAAAAAAAGAAAGAAGTTGATCCTATTGTATTCTTAATTAATTAACTGGTTTTGTTTGGGTCGAGTTGCACTTTTTAGCGTTGTGGAACTCGTACAGGCGCGAGATATAGCGAATGTACATGTCTTTGCGACTGTCTTTGTACAAGTCCTTGGGACGGTCACGTAAAAAAAAACAAGTTATATTTTTTAAAGAAACAAAAGAAAGAAGTTGATCCTGTTATATTCTTTATTAATTAATTCACTGGTTTCGTCTGAGTCAAGTTGAGGTGAATGAAAGGAGAACATTTTCAGAGGGGGGGGGGATTCCGTCGCTGTCAGATTTTAAACACGGGACCTAATATTGAAAGAGAGGCCAACACAGTACCTCAGACAACGAGAGATCCCACACCATGTTAAGACAGTGGGGACGAATCCGTTTAGAAAAGCACTCTGTATTCGCGGATATATTTTTTTACGTAGATATTTTAGGCCACAGTGGGGACGAATCCGTTTAGAAAAGCCCTCTGTATTCGCGGATATATATTTTTTTACGTAGATATTGTAGGCCCTTATCAACACATTAAAAATTATTCAGAAGACAGGCTTCGACCCTGTCTGTCTTGACCAACCCGGGCTGAGAGGTATTTTTTGCTTGATTTAGTAAATGTTTTATTGCGCTTGCAACTACATAAGGTCATATGAGCGCACGGGACACATTAAACATTTCCAGTTTGATAGGAATTTTGAATTTTGCCCGGGTTGCAGGCGAATCCTACTCTTATCGATTTTAGGAACCACCAAGGGATCTTTAACACGCGCAACTCGCACACGGGACCTCCGAGATTTTCCGTCCTTTTTCGGCTAGGTGTTATATCATGCCTGCCATAAGATCAGAGGTGTGGCAGAAAGACAGCAGTAAGAAGGAGTCAAGTAGTAGCAGTAGAAAGGCTGCAAAAAGAGTCAGGAGCCAAGAGGAGGGGGCAAAGGGGAGGGGGGGGGGCAGAAAGTGGAGACAAAAGGAGACGACAGAACATGGTTAGAAAACAGGAAAGAAGGTGAAATGAGACAATTTTGGAGAATAGCATTTTCCGTTGCTGTCAGGTTTCGAACCCGAGACCTAATGAATGAGAGACAAACCGCACCGTAACCTCTAGACCTCGAAGGCCCTCAAGGGCTGAGAAGGATTTACAACGTCCCAGCAGAAAGATCGAGATACTCGATGCAAATTCTCCCAAACGCTGGAAACGAACCCAAGTTTTCTGCGTGCAACAGGGAGCTAAACCTAAGTGGCCGGAATACAATGTATAAATAAGCAGTGAGTGGGACACGACCTCGCCTAAAAAAGGGCCGCTCCTCTCACTGTCTATTCATGGATATGATTACGTAAAACTGTCAAAAGGTCATGAGGCGAAAGGTCATGAGGTGAAAGGCCATTGGGTCATGTTCTGACGCCTTATTTACACGACATGCGCTGTCATCTCTCATCTTGCAATATTTTTGCAGAAGACTTTGACAGATGGGTTTGTTTTTTCCCTTCGTTTGTCTTTTTCTTTTTATGTAGTTCCCTTTTTGCTAGGGGGAAAAAAGAAAGACATTTGAGGTTGTATTTGTCGCGCGCGCGTGTGTGTGTGTGGGTGTGGGTGCGGGCGTGTGTGTGTGGGTGTGTGTGTGGGGGGGGTGTGTTTCGGTAATTTCTTTTTTGTTGTTGTTGTTTTTTGTTTTTGCTGGAATTTTTTCTTTTCTTTTCTCATCTTTTGTAACAAGGGGAGGGT